ACTTATTGACCGATATGATTTAGTGGCTTGTGCATAGGAGACATTTGCTTATGACTGGCCCATGCTAAAAAGTTTCTTAGCTTCAGGATAGGAGATTTTTCTTGAGGATAGGAGTCTTAATATGCTGTATTTCTTTCTTTCCACTTAGGGCAGTTTCATGAGTATCCTGGATGATCGGCATGACAGTTTGCACATTTTTGATCAGCTACACATTCCTGACTTTCGTGACCACGTGCAGAACAGCGAGCACATGCCATGTTTCCCCCGGCATGCGGCCTTCGCATGGCCAAACCGTTGACACTTGAAGCAGCGCAGTGGGTTCGGCACGTAAGGTCTGATGGGGCAATTCAGGTAACCTGCCTTAATGGCTTTCGGTTAGCTCTGAGAGGAAGAAAGAATAAGAAGTTTTTGTGTTGACGAGTTTTGCCCGTCTCTACGGACTTTATTCGGCGGACCGCCACATACACTTTGCTCGGCGAGTTTCTTTTGAAAGTTCATCCTCAGAGACTGATATCAAGTCTATTTCCGAAATGACACCTCTTGACGTGTTCAAAGACTTATGTGGGGATGCAGTAATAGAATGCTCCCCTATTTGGTCATTTTTAGGAGAGAGGACGCTTGTGGCATCAGATGTATTTCGATGAGCAGAGATCCTGAACGGAGCTTTTTATGTGTTTTGGTCGCCTGCTGAGGCACAATATGCTTATATGGATGAAAATGGTGATAGATTTTTCTAGCTCACCAGTGATAAACTAAGAACTTTGGACATTTGTTTGTGCTAATTAAGGTCGAAGTACAAATTCTTTTAGCAGCTCCAGAATTTTCGCATCCATATGGTTAGGAGAAGTTAAAGTATTCAATTGAAAAGAGAGAAGGTTTTTCGGGGCCCGACCGCCCCAACCCCATGGAGCCCACAAGGGAACACAGATCCCTGTGTTAGGGCTAGCCGGGCCTATACGCAAACTGAAGCCCCACAGTCGGCTTTCCCAAAAGCGGAGACTTCCGAGAGCTTATCCCCTAGCCACTGACCAATAGGACTAGTGGCCAGCCGATTGACACTAGCGGGGACAGCTAAGTGCCTCCCGTTTTAATAGAAGCAGAGGCCAAAGCAGTGTGTTGGGGACAGTACCTCGCCCCTCAACTGCCAGGATCCTCCTTTCCCACCCTACGGTCACCATGCACGGCAAACGCATAGGCGGTATTCACCATGGTGATACAGAAACTAAGAGTAGTAGCTGCATCTCACAGTGAGCCCCAACCTCCCAGTAGAGGAAACCACAAGGGAGAAAAATAGGAGAGAGAGCTAGACAAGAGGAGAGGAAAGGTCACTGGGGCCCCGGGATTGTGATACCCGATCACCAAGACGGCAATCCCCTGAGGGTTCTTCACCTGCTATGCTTTAGCTGGGCATGTTGGAACGGCCTTCCCTTCACGCCTAGGGTGGCCCTACCAGGAGCTATGCTCCCGACGTACTTCGCCCGTTCCGCCCAGTGACACCCCCCCCGCCACGTTGAGGCAGCATAGCAGGACTTTGGGGGGGGGGCTTCTGTTGTGAAAAATAGTCCTTCAATAACTGAAAAATTTCCAGCAGAATCCTTAGATCAAGCAATCTTGTCATGAGAGAATACCAGCAAAAACTGTCAAAAGCTTTACCAATATCAAATGAAATCAGGTGACTTATTTCATAAAGTTTATCACATCAAAGAAAGCGTGGTCAATCGAGCGCCGTTTAATAAAGCCATATTATCTACTGGAGAGGTTTTCATTAACAACTATAAAAATGAGCCAATCTGTTGGACAGAAGCTTATTAAGAATTTTTCGAAAACAATTATACATATAGGTCTGAATTCAGATTTCTCTTTTATAATAAGGGTAACTCGACGGACTTTTCAAATGTCTGGAAAAACATGCATAGAAACAACAGCGAACTCTTTTCTCTGACAATTTTGAGGTTTAAAATAAAGTTCTCTTTCTAAATTTATTCGAAGCCCTCAAAATAATGCCTATTCCCGAGGTAAGTTTCATGCATGTATTATTTAAAGTTGGTAAAAAATTAGGGTATAAATTAAATAAAAATTTTACGACAGCCAGCGAAACGCCGTCCAATCCTGGTGTACAATTAAGTTTTAAATTATCAATAACAGATTAAATTTCATTAAGCAGAAAATTTCTCCCCCGCAGCACTACAGTTTTCTTCGTTCATCCTCAAGAGAAAGATTCATGGGCTTCCATAACTATTTCTGTAGAAACAACAGCGAACTCTTTTCTCTGACAATTGAGGTTTAAAATAAAGTTCTCTTTCTAAATTTATTCGAAGCCCACAAAATAATGCCTATTCCCGAGGTAAAACTGCATTTTAACCTTCTATTTTGTTTTAATAAGAGTTTTCCTGTAAAGCCAGTTGTCTTTTATACTTGAGTCTTCTTACGAATTTTATATCTTCATTTAAGCCCTTAAAACTTGGGCACTTTTACTTAAGACTCGAATTCTTCCTTTGTAACTTTCAACAGATGGTTTCCATCGATTAATTTGTTTCATGTTAACTTTTTTCATTTTCAACTATTTATTCATAACATTTATAAAGAAAATTTTAAATTCTTGAATCAAATTATTTACATCATGTTTGGATCCGGAAGAGCTTAACCTCTTTCCAAAGCTTCTTATATTAATCCCAATTCTCCAGTATAGTACTATATTAATCATAATTCTCCAGTATAGTCTATTTATACTGAAAAAACCCTTATCACTTCCAAAATCTTTCAAATCCTTGCATTTTAAGAGCAAATAATTATGGCCAATTAAAGAGACTCCTCCAAGATAGCTGTTTTAAGGGGGTTCAAGCCAAAACCAGCAGAGCATGTAACTAAATCGGTGTAACACCCCCACGCACAGCAGATGAGAAAATAGGCGATAAATCAGGCCTGTTTGATAAAATCAAATTATTCTCATGAAATCTTGGATTAAAAGTACCCTATAATCGTTAAAAGAAGACCCCTGTTTACATGCTTTAAATTAGAATCTCTAACAATAAAATTTGTATGTAACAGTTAAAAATATTCTGCAGTAGGAGGTGAGCTTAAAGATCTTCCTCTGGAGAAAATTAAACTGTAATAATGCCCAGAGAGCCACCCTGCATATTTAGCGAAATGTCGACAATCGTATCAGAACAGTAATCCACTACACAGTCTACAGATTCCAGAGTAATAGAAATAGCTGTCCGTTCCCCTTCCTCATGTATCACCCTCCAAGAATTGTTTACATAAGCAATTTTGTTTTCTATACAATATACCTCCTGAATTGTAATAACAGCAAGGGTTTGCAGCAAAACTTTCTCAATGGCAGAGAGCTGGAGTGGTGTTGGATATTATACCTTGGCTAAACACTATATACAATCCGTTCTCGATCGTATAACGTGATTATCCGAAGCTGACCGCCAGTCCGAATCTAAATGAGTGGCTACGACTTGCGTAAGCTTTCTTCTGCGATAACTTATTTTCCCTTTTTTGGGGAAGGGATTGCGAATACTAAATGGCCGATAAGTTCGGCCTTTATTTTTATCGCCTTGGTATGTATAGAGGTTAACGGACACTGAACGGCAGTCTGATTCTAAATATGTGGGTTCCAATCCGCGTAAAGCTTGGCTGTATGTTGAATGTCTTACTCCAGGTGCAGCCTCACGGGGCTCCAGCGAGTTGTTTCTTCGAGATAGTGGAGGACGTAGCACATATGCCTGTTTACCTATGTTATACGCTAGGCGTCCCCGTCCTCCGTCACCTGTCACCTGTCACCTGTCGGGTGTTTTCCCCTTTTTTATGGCCATAATATCGGTCGTCCCCTGTGGTGTATCTTCTTGACTATTGTAACGAATTTTCTACATATATCATTTTAGTGCAAATATATGTGAAACTTGTATTTTTCAGCTTCATGTAATATGAAAAATCTAGAGAGAAAAGCTATGCCGGAAGACTAAGACTACAGGGGCAAGTTCATTTAACATTGAGTAAATGGGTATCTCGGTAATTTATTGAGATATCACTAAGCTGGTACAAATCGCCAAATATGGCGAAAAATCACTAAAAGTCGCTAAACTTGGCGACATTTTGGTCCGGTCCCTGTACCATCGTAATAAGCATTGTAAACGAATAAATGTAAGTGATCACTATTTTAGCTGCAACCGTAATTTGACACTCATATTGAATTCCAGTAATTTCGAGAAGCAGAAAGTACCAGAAATATGTTAGTGGCCGGGTGGACAGTATATAACGCGAGAGACTGCATCTGCTCTCTGTTGTTATTGTTGCGAGTTGCTAGTTCAGTGTGAGATCAAAGTACTGAGATACCTTTAGGTCCGTTTTCTCTTCAGATGGGTTTTGCATTGCGTTGTGTTTAACGTTCTTAGTAGTTGGATGTGTAACTACCGATTGTAGTCTGTGATACTGTACGAGTATATCTGTGGAAATTTCCAGAACTTTGAAGTGTTTCTTTTGATGAAATAAATTTTATTAACCTATCATCGGACCTGTGTGCATTCAATCTATTACGAACCCGTACGCACGCAACAATATTTTAGGCGATGAAATGGCTAAATGAATGATTTGTTCGTTCATTTTCACTGAATTTGACAAGTGTTCGCCTCCCTCAGAAAATAAATTAATAACTTATGAAACATTATGCATTTAAAGAATAATGCTGATTATTCTGATATTTCTTTTTTTTTTTTTTTTTTTTTTTTTTTTTTTTTTTCTTCTTCTTAAAGATGATATTTCCTTGAAACTAAATTTCTGCATGTATTTAGGACCGCAACTGTGATTTAGACTTACAGACTAATATAAAAACAAAGCAAGAATAAATCCTAATGCATCCTAATATGTTTAACTGATTACGACACTTACTTCAAAGACCGAAAAGTCTGAAAACTTGAATGTGTTCAAAATTGCATAACAAGATCAAATTAGGAAATTGCCGTTATCAACAGTCAATGAAATAGTTGTTTACTTACTTTATCTGAATTCAAATACTGGTTGATTTCTTCTCTAACTCTATCTTGGACTTCTGGATGACGCACCAACAAATGTGTAATAAACGCTAGAGCTGCACTTGTAGTTTCATAACTAAAACATAAAGCGTAATTTGTATGAGTAATACTAAGAATTTCATTGACCTTTGAAATGAGAAGATATCAAGAAATTAGTAACTCAAAAATAAAACGAAGATCTATGTTTAAAAATGTCACAATCTAGAATAAATGCATATATTTATCTTATTTTCGTTGTAAGGTTTATCCTAAGTTTTAAACAGTTATCTTTAGTTAACAGTTACTTGACCATCCTTCCCAATTTAAGCTTACACTTTACTACCAGAATGCGTTTTTAGTGCAAATTAGTAAGAGCGATATTTAAGTTCCATTGACTTCGTTAGAGAGCCAGCCAGAGTTCGTCTAGCAGTGCGCCTTTTGGCTACATCTCTCGCTAAGCTATTACTGCGCTCGGCCGTATTTCAGACCCTTGATGCTTCGCCAGATTATTTTATATTTAGGGGCCAACTACTTAGAAATTCTGATAGCTTCTGCTGTATTTTTTTAGCTAAGCATTAGTTAAGTTTTATTTCTTATTACTTTGATTTCAAGCCCAACTGAGGCTTTGCTGTATGCTCTGAGAAAGGAGCAGACTGTACATTCTTATTTTGAATAATAAAGGGTAATTAACCCTTCTTGAGTTTTACGTCTCTGCTCCCGCACTCAAGCGATTATTCGATTATGTGTCAATTTAGGATATCAGTAGATAGTAGAAATTTCATACTTCAAACTTATTATCAAATACATAAAGTTCATAAGATTTCGTGTAAATGTAACCACTGAAAATGGTATTTGGTTAGGCTCAAATTCCCACCAACGGGAAGGACTTAAATAAGCATTTTCGTGGTTTTCAGCATATGTAACTTGAACATAAGCAAGTTTCTATTAGAAAATCTCCGAAGGACGCACTCGTTCCCTTGGGCAGATAACTCTGGCGTTTCTTTTCCCCAGTCAAATTAAATACTCAATGACTCATGACTGCTATATATTATTCAATACGCCTGCCAATCAGACACAGGGTCGAATCTCGGATAATTAGCTGATTGCATAAGGCTTTCTGAAAATTTTCTCTTCATGTGATGTATGTATAAGTCAGTTTCCTTTAAAAATTTCTCCACGAAGATATCCGTCATCTTAGGCAGATTCCCGTGATCTTTGCAATAATCAGGCAAATAAAGAGTTGATTTCTGGAAAAGGGCAATGGCAGTTATTTTTGTAAGGGTAGAGATGCCTGTGCCAAGTTACGCAGGACAAATCACAACTTCCTGAAAAATACTACTGATTATTATAATTACTGATAAAATATATTAAATTTCTAACCTGTTTGACGTATGTTAACAGGTCTAACAAAAGTTTCAAGACGTCAGCTATGAAATTTCAATTCAATCTTCTATAATTTTGCTCTAAATTTTATAACTTATCTACTAATTGCTCTTCTTCTTAGCTGGTTGTATTCTCAAGGTAACTGAACAAATATTGAAAATTTTATGTTTTTCGTTGGAGATTATGCTCCTATACGAGGACATCAGAAATATTCTCGGCTAACAAGAGGGATCCATTGCCTCATGACCTTCTCCGACGTACATTTGGGGACACTAACCACCCCACCTTTGCGGTCCCATTGGTGATACTGACATTTGAATTAATCATTACAAATGAGTTTTTTTCTGTCTTCGAGTGTTCAGTGGCGGTGTTCATTCCTATGTTAATCGTGTACTACCTTGTGTTGTAGATGAACAAAAGTATACTAACTAAGCAATGGCTTCTCTTTCCTACAAGTAAGGGAGAACGGCGGCACCTGGTGGCTAACAGAGGAAAACATTATTTGGCTCTAGCACTCCACTTATCTAGAGGCATCAACCACAACGAACTTCAGAACCCGAAGATCATGCATCAGCACCCTGGAGCCGCAAAAGACTGCCTCGAGAGTTAATTGCAAACTAGGAGGAAATTAGATGGCCTTACAACGGCTTATTTCATCTGAGTCATTTAAAAGATTTAGGTTATAATAACCCCCCCCCAAAAAAAAAAACACAAAATTGTTACTATGAGTATACTACATTATCGAAATCTGGATTTAATGATGAGTTAACTGTATGTTCCTTTTTTTCTTTGAAAATGGAAAATTCGAAATGGTTAATGGCTATAATTAAAGTTCGAGAAGATGTGCTTGATCAGCTCTGAGCAAATTGCGCTGTGGTTAGAGGAATTTTGATTTGTCTTGTAGTCATATTTTGTTTTATTTAACAGTTCTGCAGTCCATTGTATGGTAAATATTAAATGCAAAACTATTACAGATTTACATAAAAGAGGCAAAATCTGGTCACTTCTAAACATATGAAACATCGATTTTAACTTTTTTACCTGGTAAACTTGGTGCTGAATTAAAAAAAATTAGTTATTGAAAAGAAATGGATAAACCTAAGTAAAACGCGAACCAATGCTGAAATCATAATGCATTTATTGCATTTGAACTAAAAATATCAAAATGCAAACTGTACGTAACATACGTAAAAGTTAGACATGTCCATTGCTTATTAATTTAATGCCTGATGAGTAATTAATTTCAATATTTTGTATTCAAATACTTTTTAAATGTAGTTTCAGTATCTATGTATGTGTCAATATACTGTAAGTTTTAAAAATAATTATTGATTTTCTTTTTCCCTCTGTGAAAGAAGGTCCTTTTTTTTTTTTTACCATGTGTGCTTAAGCACGTGGTTACGTGTGCTGTTTTACGCCTACGGATAAGAGTTACCTCTGGAAAAAGGTTTTATCAGAATCCTCGTATTCATTATAAACTTTTTTTCACTGTGTCTGTGCGAATTAAAGAAAGAATAGACCTCATATCTGGTCGCAGCAGTTCGGCTGCGGTCAAAACGCTGCTCTAACGCTTCAGTACATATTTCTAGCCACAATCATAACTCTCTCTTCCGTTCTTCAATGCATATGATATACTTTGTATGAAACTGGATACAATGCAGAGAGCTTGGTTACTAATGCTTACGAGATGTTACAGAACGACCTCTACTGCGGTTGTTTGTATCCTGGCCGGTGTGCCCCCTCTCTCCAAACTTTTTTTTTTTATATAATTTCGTTAAACGGAAATAGATTTCTTATATGGAGAGCTATTCCACAGGTGCTTTTGAAAATTTTATTTAAATTTGATTCACCCTGCGAATTTTATTCCGTATATTTAGATTCCCCCTCGGAAAATTGCAGACGGTTCGGTCTGGGACGCCATTGCTTTCGCATATGTTATTATTATGGAACAGAGATGAGAATATAATTTAAACTCCTTTCTAACTCGTTTATAACGAGAAAGCTATGGCTACTTTATTCACTGAAATGGATTAAGAAGATAAAGGGTAATTGATACCTTTTTTCCGTCTGACGTTTCTTCACTCTCTCACCCCTGATCAAGCCATCCCTTTAATAGAGATATAGAGAATTATTAAATACTTAGAGAGTCAAAGATTGTGTTTCCTTTGGTTTGGCCGGCCCACTTTGGAATTTCGGAACGGAAGGGAGCGCACTGGACCCGGGCATTACCGATGTTATGCTCGTGATGATGTACAGGATCAACAAGGAAAGCTGGACTATTATTAAAAATTATTTTTTGATAAATGGGAAGGGAGGAGTGGGAAGGTCTGATTGAAAAAACGTTTAGGAGGTGTGTGTTTATGGCAAAGCCTCGCTGGGGCTTTAGGGGACCCAATCGCCTAAGAGAGGGATGCCTTCGTGAAGGATTTTTAAGGAAACTGGTCGTATACACGTTACACATGGGAAAACCCCAAAACGCCCATGCAGCAGCCCGTTCGCGGGATTCGAACCTCGGACGAACTACCAGTGTCCGGTCTTTATCGCCGGCCGCGGGTGGCAAAGGCTTTGAAATTGTTAAACTTAAAAAGGTATGTATTCAGACATGACGTTAACCAAACATTACAGGTCATAGCCGTTCCTTCTATTTAAAATGTTAAAGTACAGAGTATGACTCTCCGATCCGTAAAGAAGGGAACTGCAGAGCATTTATGGAAAAAGTAATATTTTCCGATATCAGGAAGAGTTAAGAAAAATGATGTTTTAATAGATGTTATTTTAAATAATTAAAAGACTGGAAAATTTGCCGGAAAATGATGGAGAGGATAATAAATAACTTGCAAGGGTTAATCTGAATTTGTTTTTAGTTATGTTCGTATGTTGTTGAAGTGCTGTTTCTGCTTGCTCTGGCGAGCCGCGCAAAAAGCCACGGCGAGTAAGTCTGCCAGGAGGGTCGGGCTGCGTCCCTCATACCATATCATAATAACATTACACTCCAGCTACCCCTAATTCAGATGCTATCAGTGCACAATATAAAATCAATTAACGGTGAATATTTTGAATGACTTATTCTCGAATACAAAATCTGAGTGCCATTTTTTTGTAATCATTTCAATAAAAATTTATTTTTAGTTTATGAGTTATAGCTTAATATTTTCTATTTTTCAATCCATATTTCACTTCATAATATGTAAAAAGCATTTAATGCAGTAATGGTCTGATGAAAATAGAAAGCATTAAATGACTTTTGAATTTGATGCATATAATTTAGCAAATGTCAGGAATACAACGTTTTCTCCATTTTAATAGCTACTGTTAACAACGAGTTGTCCTCTGTTGGGTAAAATGCTTTCAGGTTTGGAAACAATTGTCAGCTACTAAAAATTGTCAACGTTTCTTTATTTACTACTGTGGGAGCTCCTTGTGTTTTCAACAAACACCTGAAAATTAACTTTCTTTCTTGAAATTTTGTTTGCTTTGTAGAGACATGAGGTATATTTTTTTTTTTTTTTTTTTTTTTTTTTTTTTTTTGGAAGCAGGAGAATTGAAACATTAGCCATCGCCTTCGCCGGGATTCGAACAGGACTTGAAGACGGCCATGTGCAAAACACTACATCACTATATACTCCATTTTAAGGGCGATGGGCTTTAGGGGACCCAATCCCAAAACTGGGTGTGGGATGCACATCCACGACCTTTTGTTAGGCGCACAGAGACATTAGGTATTTTAGGAGCGGCAGATGAAAATGAGCAAACGCCTTTGTCAGGAATCGAACCACGGACCTCTGGAATACCGGCCCAGCGTGCAGAACCACTACACCCCGAAGGCAGGAGAAGTACTTTATAGCTTAATTATTTTTAATTGCCGTTATACCTTCTCATGTTTCCGACGGTGAAGCTTTTACCATAGAATGAATTTCATCCAGTGTGTCTGCAATTCACATTCTACAAATTGTTGTATACAAGAGCCCTTTTGATCTGATACCAAAAGCTTAATAAAAAAAAGAAATACAATAACATAAAATTTACACGTTATGCTATGATAATGGATTCTGGCCGCTACGAGCTCCCATTAATAATGTGATTTTATTTTTTATATTTCATAGATATATTACCAAGTATTAAACAAACAATACTAAATAACTCTTAAGAACTGTATATAATTTTAAGGCAAACATACCCAGCTAAAAGAAATATGACAGCATTATGAGCGATTTCTTCGTCAGTCATTTTACGCATATTTTTCTGATCTTTTTGCAATAGGTTATCTATAATTATAGTGTAGAAAGATCATGATTATAATAAGTATAAAACTAGTTATCCGTTTAAAATTAAATTTTTATATGTCACAAATAAAGAAACAAATACATGTCAAAAATAAATAAAAGTATCCAAATTTAAATAGGCAATCACATGATAATCAAACATTTTTAAAGACATTTTGTTTGGAAAAGAACTAGTATTGTTTCAAAAATTATTATACTCATCAAAATTGGCATCATCGCATTCCACAATATTTTCCCAGCTAGATACAAAATGATATATTTCATTTGTATAAAATATATCATCCTTGGAATTAAAACACAAAATAACTTTCGCTCACCTCTGACTTGTGCTTCATTTCTGAACTGTCTCTTTTGCATGTAATTGTCCAGAATAAGGAAACATTATCTTGAGAAAATGTTACGTAAATAAGGTGATTAATACTCTAGTATTACTATAATGGAGAATTCATACAGACAGCAACTATCTATAAATAGTTTAGCATTACTCTACAAGAAGTTTATCTTTAATTCAGTTCGGAATCAGAACGGAATCTAGCTACGCAATATCGAAGGCCACGATATATGAAACATGAGCTTCTTAGTATGGAATGGAACCTTTGTAGCATAGAAAGAATCGGTCTTTCGATGGTAAACAATGACGTATCTGATGCTGCTGAAGTACCTCTTCTATTTTCATCATTTGTCAACCGTAAAACTTGAAGCAGTTCATTTTTTTGATGCTCGTTAACCCATATCATACCAAGCATTGAAAAAAATTAATACTCCTTTATGAATTCTTAATTATGTGTTTCTTTAAGTCCATATATACGTATAAAATTAAAACACTTAAGTTTTTATTAGTTTGATCGATACAGCCTGTTCTAAATGTAGGACAATGGTATAATCCACTGCTATTAAATCTTACTTAGGCGGAACAGCAGAAAGCATCTTAAGCATAGTCCGTTACATTTTTTACAGATAGTCGTTGATTTTACTGTGCATGTTTTTAGATAGCATCTTCTTGTCTGTTTCAGCCGTTTTCCACAATAACATGTTCATTTTGAAGCTTTATAAAATCTTTATTAACGTGTTTAACACCTAGTTTTCTGCAAGGTGGTTTCCTTGGAATAGAAAGTCCCAAATAGGCAACTGTTTTGTACCTTCGAAAAATCAAGCAGGCTCAGGCTATCAGGACTACGTAACTCATTAAGCATCCATGAAGTAAAAATGCTGTTTCAAACGCATTAACAAATAAAGACCAGTACCCTTCCGTTCATTGAGTTGAAATGACATAAGCTGCTGCATGATTATCAAATACGTTTTTATACTTATTGTAGGATGCAATGCACATTGATATCTTTACCTGTTTTCTGTCACCATTTTACTCTTCTTTCTACAGTCGATACACTTTTTGTTTCTTCGAAATTGGACATTACCGAAACAACAAGACTGTCATTCCATCGAATTGCTGCAACTTTGTTCTTTGAATCAAAATTGCTATCTGAAGAGCAGAGTTCCATTTTTGACATTGTTTTAGAGGGTAGAAGTGGGCATTTAGACATTCTATGTTTGCTAACAGTACTTGTAGCGAAGAAGTTTTTATTTGCAAGAACGGATAATAATTCATGGAAAGTAAATAAATTATCCATATAAATCTTATGTAGCTCAAGGTTTGTAACTATTGACAGCAAATTCTGGACAACTGTATGAGATAATGGTCATTCGCGATTTTCTTAAGATTTTTATTCTTCTCCAAAATTGAACCATGTAAAAACGAGAGAAATTTAGTCCACATCGATGAATTTTAGAATATAAACTGACTTGACTTGTGTCGAATGGAAAGAGAGTGACAGCGCGCTTTTACTCCGCATCAGATAAATGAATGTCTGGAACAACAAAAAGATAAGAAGAATCGAGATGGTAGAATGGGATATTTCACTTAGCCACCATCAGTCGGCGAATACAGATATAATGAATGAAAATGGACAAGCAATGGGGAAAAAAGTTGAATCAGTAAGGTATTAAGTATTTCAAATAATTAACAAAATGTTAGGTAAGAATATCCGACGGATAGTTCATTAGTCAATGGATGGCAGTAGTCAAATAGATGGCAATAGCCTTTTAGTCTCCAAACACTCGCAGATGTACTTTTTACTTCTGTTCAAAATGGAAGCTATGTGACAACAGCCTATCGCTGATACAGCTTTTAACGGGTCATGGGACATTTTTAAGCTATATCAAGCACTTCAGGAAGAAACCATCAGATGAATGCCAGCGTAGAGAGGACGACACTCCTGATTACTATGCGTTTGCTTTATCAATAAAAGGGAACAGCGTTTTGCGCAACCCAATACTTTGAGCTGCGCAGCATGGGCGTAAAACATGTAGTCCTTATGCTCTCACAAAATTGTATTTTATATTAAACGTGGTTTGTACTGATCGGGAAATGCGTCAAAAATGTGAATAACTATACATCATATCTCTTATAATATTCATCACATAATATTATTCAAAACTGTAAAATCATTTTTATAAGCACCTAGACAATATCTTAAGTATTTATTCATGTCTAAATAACCTAATTTTGCATATTATATTTATATGTTCTAATGTGCGTACCTTAAATTCTAATGTTCATGTAATGTTCTTTTAATATTCCGATCTAACTTCTGCAAGATATAGAATACATCCGCCTGGCTGACAACCATCCTCATACTGCTAAAGCCAGGACAAGGACCTACTCCGATGGCTTTCTGTTCTGCTATGTTGTACTAAAAGACAAGCTACCTCAATTTTGCTAACGCATCATCGATAGATTTAATGACTGCTTCGTTTTGTATATTTTAATTCTAGTTGTAACCAGTCAGAAGTAGTTAAATAAATATTATTTTACCTTCACCCTTCTTTCTTTGCAAGCAGGTTAGCAGTAAGGACATTAATTCGCCAATATCAAAGGATGTGAAGTATCTTTAAGGAGGAAAACTAACAAGTAGATATTAAAACCAAATACAGTTCTTGCAATGATATCTACCAAAAAGCGATAGAAAGCTTTTATTTGTCTAACAGTTTTAATATTACACCTAATAATAATTTTATATTACGGGTTTATTTTTGCTTCAAAGATGTTTAGAATTAATAATTTCGAATAAAATTTTTGTACATCAAATAAGTTATGATAAGCCCATGAAAATTTGAGAAAAACTTACCATTTTGGACTTGTTCATCATTTTCTCCAGCAGTTAAAAGACTGTCACTTATATTTTCTTTTGATGCTTGAGCATTAATCATTAATTGAAGCAAATCCTTTCTTTCTTTCTGAAAAGCAAAACATTCAACAAAAGGTTAACATACATTCCTGCTTAAAAAGTAAACAAAAAAGGCTGAAAGAAGCAAAAATTATTTACTAGATATGCGCAATATTGTTCCAAGATGTTAGTGGGGTATCACTTGAACCAACAACAAACAAGAAAGCAAAAGACATGCAAAAACACATGTATTAAGATCATCACATTGCGGAAGGTCAAATGGGACGGAAGAATGTACAATGGGAACATCATGCTAACAACGAGTATGATACCCCCTTGCTGAAATGCATGACAACGGTACGCCAAGCTGGCAATAGTGTCATTGGTTGATTGTTGCGGCAGTAGTGCCCATTCCTGTAGTTATGCATGTCGGAGCTCTTGGAAGGTGCTTGGGGGTATACTGTGATCTGCTATCCATCTTCCCAATATGTCTCACATATGATCTATGGGATTTATGTCCGGTGATCAAGCAGGCTAAGGCAAGCGTGCGATGGTTTCACTTTCCAAATAACTCTGCACCCCTCGAGTTCTATGCGGGTGAGCGTTATCGTCCACAAATATCACTTCAAAAAAAGGCGTGAAGAGGGTGTAGAATTTCGTCGCGATATTGGACGGCTGTGATAGAACCGCCAGAAATCACGTAGAAGTTGGTGCGGCCGTTCGTAGCTATCTCAGTCCATACAATATCCTCCTTTTCGGTAATGGTCTCTTTCGACTATGCTTGACGCCCGATAGCGTGTCCCTGGCTCTCGCCATAACTTTGCCCATCAGGATTCGTTCTAGACTTTAAATCGAAACTTATCCGTAAATAGTACGTGGCCCCACTACTCTGGCGTCCAATTGCGATGTTCAAGAGCCCATTTCAAACCCGTTTGACATACGATGGGGACAAAGGAACAGAAATCACAGGTCGTTGGGCGTACAATCTACCTTCATGCAGTCGGCGTGGCACAGTCTGGCCGGATATGGGCAGTCCTGCTGCGTCAGAGATGTGATCTACAGCGTCTTGCACATAGCAGAAGGAAGCAATCATCTGCCATTGTGGTAATCCTCCGGCTTCCAGATTCAGGTCTTTTGGGGGGGCTTGATACCTTTAGTAACGATTCTCCAGTCTACTGATGACACTACGATGCACATTCAGCTCTTTTGCAGCTGCGGACTGTCTTACACCACCTTACAATATACCGACATCCCTCTAACGCATTTCATCGTGCAGATGCTATCTTCGGCTGATGGTTTCCACTTTGCCTATCTCACATTATATGGAACTATACGTTGCATGGGAATTGACGCGTAGATCCGGCATGCCACCTTTTAAGGCGCTGTAGTATGACTGCGGGATTGCGCTTTATGCTAATTTTTGTTGCCTATTTGCATTCGGAGATGCAATCTTTACCTCGTACATAAATTGTATATTTTAGTTTCTCTTTTTATATTCGTACTTTTTCTTTCAGCGTTGTTTTTTTTTAGCGAGAGTGTAGTATAACTACACATACTGTATAAGATAAAAGTAAAGCAGCAATATGAAACAGGCAGGAAGATTAATATAAATTTCAATTATATTTCAGAAGGTTAAGTTTGGGGGTCATATATATTACCCCATCTTCAGAAATTTTGAGAAATTCATTATAATAAATATTTTAAGAAATTAAACTATTAGTGCATATTTTATGATATCATGGTTCTGAATAGATTTCATTTGTTTCTAATTAGAAGAAAGAACAAGCCACCTAATTGCATTTCACCTGTATTATTTTAATGAAATGCTTTAACCGAACAAATTTTCAATGAAATTATTTATCTGCTCAAATTTTCAATAAAATTCTTCAACTGCAAAATTTTTAATAGAATTTTTAACTACTCAAATTTTCAATAAGGTATTTAATAGCAAAAATTTCCAACAACATACTTTAACTGAACAAATTTTCAATAAAATTATTTAAATAACTACAAATTTCCAATAAAATCACTTGACGGAAAAATGTTTCAATCACACAATCTTAATTCTTTTGATCAACTTTCTATTTCATTCACTTGTTAGGAGGATTATTTAATAATTTATTTGATTATTCACATTTTATAGTTTATTTGAATTCTTCTCCAAGAAGCAAATTTTTCTTTCACGCACACGTACGTTATAATAAAATGCAACAGCAGTATTCTTTACCTTTGGATCAGTCTTTCTTGAAAGAATAACTTCTTTTGTATTTTGTAGCAACTGTCTGCGCGGGTCTTGTCCTTTATTGCGTAAGCGTAATAACATGCGTCTCAAAAAAGAGAAAAACCCACTTATTTCTGGAAAAGAAACTGAAAAGCATTTTCTATTAAAGATATGTTAATACATTTTTTTTAATATGTGAACACAGGAAAAAACTCTGTAATAGGGTTTTAAAGAAGAGAGTTTCAATATTTAACCTTGCTTCACGGTTTAGTTTTCGTAAATTATCCAGATTTAAGTTACCAAAACTATCCTTTAGATTATTAATGGGGGAAACTTTTAAGCACGTACCAAAACTAAAATATTTTTTGTGCAGTATGTAGGCAGGGTTCTTGCTAAGTGCGATGGTGCTTCTGTAACGCTCTTTTGCTGTATCCCTATGTTTGCTAAGAAGCGATGGCCTCCAGTGACGTTAACAGCCCTCCATGGAAGAAATTTAGAAAGAAATTGCAATCTAAAATAACAACTCATGCACATAATTTCATATTTTTATTTTAAATAAGCCCCAAATGGTGAACACGGGTTTACGACGGCATGAATGCAGGTTAACCAATGAAATATAAAATATGCACGTAAATTTCAGAGCGTATGAAATAAAAAAGGACATCATTAATTAAATCAAACATTTTCACAAACATACATTTTTTAAATTTTTATTACAAAACCTGGGTTAATCTTTGGATTATGGTAACTTGGCGATTTTTTGGGAAATTCGCGTCCACCCGGACAGCTCTGCTAGTTTTTGGTTTGGCGCCATTTTGGTTTTCAGAAGTTTTTTTTTTTTTTTTTTTTTTTTTTTTTTTTTTTTTTTACACTAACATTTTTTTCCACAATGTGTAGCGAATTAGCCGCTTTTGGAACCTTTTATTATGCCGACGAAGGTGCGAAATTGGGGAAAATCGAATCGCCCACTGCTTGGCGCTTTTTGTTGCAATCCCACGGATCATCCATGTCCCGTCGACTCTTTTCCCTTAAAAAATCCCAGAGCCGCAAAAAATGACTTGCGCACTCTCTTTCCTGTACTGCTAAAGTCCTAGCTAGTAATCTTGATCGCCTTTCCAAAATGTCGCCAAACTACCTGCTACCATATTACAAAGATTAGCCCAAAACCTGTTGTAAAAACAGTTATTACATACTGTATACTTAATACGAGACGTGAAATCTCAAATGTTCGTTTGCTATTATTTGATCCAAATTAGGTTCCAACTCACTTTTAACGATCCTGAATATCAAATGCACATTTTTTTAGTAAACTTGTAACAAAAAAATTGTTTCATATAAATTTGTTGATTCAGATCAAACTAAATATATTTTACTATAATCTAGAAACGTTTTGAATATATTTGCATTCAAGGAATCAGAAAAAGCAGTTAATTCGCTTGAATTAAACATTTCCTTTAACATAGGATTCAAGTGCATATAAATCGGATCTAAGTGAATCTGAACTAGAACATACTTTAGAATTAAACGGCGTAATTATTTACCACAAAACCTTTTTCAATTTTTCAAAAACTTCCATCTTTTGGTCTTCAGATAATTATAGAGTAGATTAGGAGAGATAAGAGTACTCATAGACGATGGAAAATCACATAGCAATGCACACTCGGAAACACTTTCCTGATGCGGTAGTAATAACACAAAACACAAGAAACAAAGGGCACGAACAGGATGACAAAATATGTTTATTATGTTCAGTACAATAGAAACCAAGACATGAAAAACAAAAATCGACAACAATTGTCATCACAATTAATGAAGAAAGAATTATATTTAATACATCAAAATTACGACCTCGGTTCGTGATGCAGGCCTCATATCTCTGGCGCATGGAAGATCAGATGTTCTAAAACATATCTAGCGTGTCCCAGGCTTCTCCTGCAACTGCCAGAATGCGTACAATATGTTCCTGAGCATGTTAACGGGGGTTTTGTACACCCAGTATCTTGACGTACCTCCAGGGAAATTAGTTAATGCAAGAGAGGTGTAACGATTTTGTTGGCCAATACACCGAACCACCCTGCCGATCCAATGTTAAGCATAAGTTGTATTCAGGTGGAGACGCACATCAAGGATGTTAATGTACACAAAAATTTAACATTCCCAACATTTTAGCTATTCCGGGCATAATAAAGTTTCTTACCCTGTTCGTGACCATTCTTTCTTGTGTATTGTGTCGTCACTACCGCGCCAGGAAAGTGTTTCCGACCACGCATTGCTATGTGATTCTCCATTGTCTGCGTGAACGCTATCTTTCTTAAAAGTTTGCAACAGAATTTCTGAGACACCCTGTATGTGCATTTACACTGTAACAATAAAAGCGCGCTCGTGTTTCTGATTTCTGTAGTTTGTTTGCAAAATCGGGTAGGAAAGAGATTAACATGTCGCTACAGAGGCATAAGAGTTTGCATAAGAGGTTGATAAGCCAATTAAAATAGTTGCATTCGGCTCACAGGCCCGCTTTTGCATATGCTTACTTTATATAAATCCTACCAAATCACATTTTTCACAGCACACCCATTGCCTGAATTTTAATGCGTGTACTACTTTCTTATTTCGGTAATATACTTGGGCTTGTTTCTCTGCATAAGCTTTTTTATTTCTGCATCTATGACAGAAGAAGCTACGCGCAGTTCAAGACCAAAACATTTTAATGTTAATTTCTCTAAATTCTTTATAGTGAGTATGGAAGCGAAACTTTCTTCGTGTATACTGTGGGAAGTTAAATAACTCCTTTTCTTTCACACACACATCAAATGCCATTGATTTATTGAAGATGGAAATGGATTTGGAATCCAGTCGAATTTGGTTGTATTGCTTTTTTCAAAGAAGTGATGAAGCTTTCTCTCAAGAATACATAGGTATTAATCTACGGGTTCTAATAGATAATTTTTAGAAATCGACTAAACATTTCAGAGGATTCATTTTTTTGAACCCAGTAATTTTTTCTGTTCAAGTCAATAAATTCTCAAGTAAAACTTGCATTTTTTGATCAAGTTCATATAGATATTCAAATATGTAATCTAAGTCGAGCATTTTTTTTGCAGTTGCCTTTCAGCTTAGCTGAATATTGACAGTTATTCTCAAAAAGTATTTTTAATGTTTTCAAAGCATTATCTCTGGCCAGAATTCTTCCTCTCGGCAGCTAAAGAATTTCAGTACGAAACAACAAAGAATAATGTTTCGATCCCATTTCATAACATAAAATTAAAAGAAAATGCGATAGAAATGCTCTTCTTTTGGACGCATTCACCGCTTTTATAATGTTATTAAACACGGGTTTTAAATTTGAAAGTAATTTATTTACTACGGCAGCTTCTCTGTTAATATGTTAATTAGAGAAGTATGAGTCTAATTGTCAGTGATTCATATTTACCATGAAGTCGTATTCACTTCATGGTAAATATGAGTCTAATTGTCAGTGATGAGTCACTTATTTAAGCATCATGAGTTTCTGAAGGAATTTTGGTTGCCAGCATTCAGATCTTTCCCGATATTGCAGTAACACCATCAGCAACTTAGAAAAGATTTCCATGAAATTATTTTTGTATCAAAGTGTTCATTGATGACTTTCTGCCTAACCCTCCTGTACTGTGGTCCTATAATCATGATTACGATAAAATGTTTTGTGGCACAAGACTGTGTTGCAGCACATCGGTTGGGAAGCACTGCATTAAATAAAGAGTCACTAGCGAAGAAAGGGCATCCTATTCACCTGAAATCCAAAATTACTTTATGTAGAGTCTTGTCTACCAAATTTTAAAAATAATTTTTTAACTCACTTCTCACACCAGATCGTGATACAGTGATGTCGGATGCTCTAACAAATGAGATAACATAGATTCAAGAGATGTAAATTCTTCTCAAGAGATTCTCTAATAAATTCGTGATTGTAATTTCTATGCAAACAAAACAGTAAATCACTCTGTTCATATTTCTATCAAAAATCCCTTTAAAGTTTAAATATAATTCATTGTAATCCTTATTCTAATCTCCATTGTCTCCAGCAAATAATGCATGCTTCAATTCCAATGTACGTGCAGCTTTGAGAATTTCAGATCTGCCCAAGTATAACATATCAGATACTCACAAATGATAAAGATACCGCCTTATTAAAGCGGCCAGGCCCACCAGCGGCCGAGCGGTAAAGCCGCTGGACATTGGTAGCTCGGTCCGAGGTTCGAATCCCACGAACGGGCTGGCTGCATGGGCGTTCCCTTAGAAAGTCTTGCCCGAAGGCATCCCTCCCCTTACGCAGATAGCCATCGAGGCTTTGTCCGTAATCATATAAATCAAATGTTAAAGCGACCATCGTGCTCAATCGCCAAAACTGGCAAATGTGATCACCCAAACCACAACGTGTAAATTTAAAATCTCGAAAAAAGCTTATGCGGTGGCCTCTTTAAAATGTAAATGTTATGAAAAATCTCCTGGCTTTAAAATCTGTACTTAATTTAATTTAAAGTCTGGATTTAAAAATGGAAGTATTATGAAAATGACAATTTATTTAATGGCCCGAAATTCTTGTAGGATGCAGAAGCAACAAATTCAGTGGATTTTTGTTGCTGGTAAAATTTGAATAAGTTGATTCACTCTAACACCTAAAGCAGTGCTTATACTTTCAATATTTGGGACCCAATTTTCATCGCCCCCCCATACAATAACAATTTATTGAATGAAATAATGTACTTTGACGCTAAAGCTACAGTAAGACCTTGATTGTAAACCGTGCAAATTATCAAGATAAGTATTAAATTTTGTATTTGTTTCTTTTAAGTAATGCATATTTTAAGTAAGTTACTTTTAAGTAATATGATAAGAATTATGTTATATTTCCTTTCTAATTTTTAAATTGGAACAGACTGCAAAATAAATTTTGGAACTACTTTTATATGCGCCTTCAAGTCGTCAAATTTCTCGCCAAAAAAACTCCACGGTGCCATATTACTATCTAAATTTTTCCTCTACATTTCGAACTTTAAGCCTAAAATGTCTCCAAAAACGCGATTTTCTCACATGCAAAAACCACGTTTTGAACACACAGTTTGAGAGCTAAAAATCCGAAAAGAAAAAAAACAGTAGATAGTAAAAACGTAAAGTTTCTAACCAAAAATATTTGACAAGAATTCATGTACACAGCGATATGTTTTAACTTTAAAAAAAAAAATTAAGAATTGCACATCTAGGCAGCGAAAGAATTACGAGCTACAGCACACCTCGCTCGTACTAAAGAACATAACAAAAAATACCATGTACACAGCGTTCTGTTTCAACTGTAAAAAACATCTACCAATTGCAAAATCTAGGCACTACTCACTAATCAACAAAATAAACTAAAATAACTAAACTAAATTTCAAACAATTCAAAAAACCAACAATAATGACAGAAATTCTTACTAAAAAACAATGAACATAACATTCTACAAAAAAAAGACAATAAAATAAATGCATTTACCATAATGGATGCTTCTTCGGACAGCGGAATGTAGTTTTAACATTCCGAAACGTACTCTCTATGGTTTTTCTATGACAGCCAGACTCGCTATCCATAAAATTCATACTATGGTTCACAAATAAATGTTCGAAACCTTCTTTTCCAATCCTGTAAGATTCCAGCCACCGAAAAGAATAGGTTGTAACAAGTCAATCCATCTTTAATTACCAACTGCATCGCGTTTCCTTACTTCGATAATTGCACAGACACTCAAAAATAATCTCCAAACCCTCTTGCAACCAGTCTTTCATTGCAACATAGGCCATTTCAAAACACGCACGACACGAATAATGAGTAATTAAAATAGGCAAAAGAGTATCAAGGTTCAAAAGTGTTGCCAGGTAAACACTAAAATGGCGCCAAAAAATAAGGCGCAGAAAATATAGCCACCATTGGTGATCTTAGGGAGCCATATAAGAACTAATTTAAGTAAATTTTTCAAACATTTTGTTTCCTCAATCATCCATTTCTAAAAGTGCAAATGTCATTAGAAAAATAGTCTAGTCTCTGTTGCTCTCTATCCATCACATTCGGCATTCTCGCGGCCATCTAGGCAGCCTATCGACCGTCTGGGCAAAAAGTGTATAAATGTTAAATCTCATGCAATTCCGGTGAGTCACGGTAGAGTCGATCCTGCAATCACTACCGAATCTACCTTGAATCTGCATTTGGTAATTTTGCGCTTTAATTGCAATTCACGGTACTAAATAACGGCAGTAGATTTAAATATAACCATGGCTAGATTTTTAAGTCGTAAGCGAACATTAGACGATAATAAAGCATAAACAAGCGCACAGACGAGCGTGGATTCGAAATTTAAATCAAGAAGATATTATCAGTAATACCTAAATTGTGGTTTACCACTACTGAAGTAAATGAAGAAGAAAGGCCCCCTACGTGTTATTTGCTCAAAACCAGCAGACAGTGTGAAACCTAATAAGCTTAAACGACATTTGGAAACGCTGCATAGTGAGTACGTTAACAAGCCTCGAGAATTTATTTATTTAGTTAATTTAATTTTTGAAGTAAAATTTAAATAATAAGAAAAGTAAAAAGAGTTTTATACGAAAGCATTTTGTTTTCAGTGCAGAAACTGAACACTAATACCATTTCCAATATCCTACCTTTGTGAAAACAGATTTTCTGTGGTGGTTGCTCTGAAGACAAAATATAGATCTCGGTTAAACATAGAAAAAGAACTTAGAATGTCAGTTTCTAATATTAAACCTTTCTTTGAATAACTTTGCTTTGCAAGACAAGCCAATGGGAGTCACTAGAAATTATAAAACTTATTCTTAATTTAGTATTGATAAATTAATTATCAAATATATTGTGAAGTACTGATACATTTATAAATACACTGTATCAGTGTAAATGTGTATTTTATTGTTTATTATGTCAGAATTTAATTTGTTTTGCTTCCTTTCAGTAAATTAATAATTTTTTTTTTTAAATAATCTTTTATTTTCGACTTTTCGATATGCTCCCGCCCCCACGTAGAGTTATCACGCCCCCGAGGGGGCAGGCGCGTCCCACAGTTTGAGAATCGCTGACCTAAAGTAATTTAAATTATACCATACGAAAACATTTAGCAACAACTATATGCATTTATTCAACTCTGAACTTGCGATTTATGAAGTTAACATGTGTACCGATGAGAGGGAGGCCAGTCAACTGTGGTTTATGCATGTCAGCTGATGAGCTCGACGGTGACCAACTCCGCCTCCAGTATCTTCCACCCATCTTCTTCTACCTTCAACGTCTCCGGGAAACTTTCAGCTTGACCGTGTTTCAAGTTCCCACATGCCTCAAATAGTACACTATGCCCCCCAAATATTCTACAGGATAAGAATTCAGGCTAAAACTGTAGTATCCGGTGTCCTTACAATCATACCACCATGGAACCAAACTGATGTTTCCCTGAACTAGACAAGATCATGTTATTCGTTGCAATTCCTTAACTTATTGCTTACATCTGGTAGCACATTTAAATACAGCCTCCGTGTCTCTCTTGCCATACAGGAAATAGTCAAACAATAAATGATCAGACCAACTGATTCTGTTAAGTTTGGCAAAGTGTTTTCTGAATGTTTTCACAGAGCTGAATGAATTGCAAATTTTTCATTGAGATCATTTCAGAATTAATTAAAAGAACAAAACTTTCCGTTTTCCGGTGGTTATACAAAAGAGAATATAGCATAGTGCATTTTCTTGCATACAGAATGATAATAATTGAATTCATCTCAGAAATGGGCAAGCTATGAAGCTATCCTGTTTACACAGCCATACTTTAGCACAGTCCTTTGAATTCCAGGACACATACAACATTAGTTCAAAATTTTTAAGAACGATTCAGTAATTACGGTTATAAAATAAGAACCAGATTCTTAAATGTTATTTTATGCACAATATTATAGGATATTTAGACATATAATTTAACTAAACGCAATCTCTTAAAACTTTAATTAATATTTCTAGTTAATACATAAATATTAGAAAATTTCATGCTTACAAGCAAACAGGAGAAAGTAGCCCATTTCTAAAGAAAATGCAGCTCTAGAGTGTCTCAGGTAAGGTTCATTTTCGTCTTTTTGAGCATTTGTATGCACGCCAAGAGACGTCCTTGCAATTACATCCATTGTGAGATTTTGGTATAATTTATAAATATTAAAAGGCTTCCCTTCTTCACACTTTTTTTCTACTGTTTCTACGAATTCATCAACAGCTTGGCTGATTATGGGATACATCTTCAATGAAATCATAAATATCGTAAAATAAATTTTTAATTTATAAATAAAAAATATAATGTATAGAAATGTAAGAAAGGTTTAAATTAAATTAATACATCCAGTGAACATATGTAGAATTTGAAGTGTAATATACAGTATTTGAAATCAGACAGGTTAATATGATTCATAGCTAAGAAATTTGCGTTTTGTTTTCTTTGATATAATTTTTTTTGCCACAGCTAATTAAATATTCAAGCTAAAACACACACATTATTTACCTCATAAGCTGAAACAAAATGATGCATAAATAATTTAATGCAATAATTACAAAAAACAATATAAATCACAATGCGCGGGGACATTTGCATACATTTTGAGTTTGAACCGCGCTACCGGTAGTCACCTACTATATATAAACACTGATTTTGAAATTTGGCTGCCATCGAACCATGAAGACTGGCGGAGACTCCGAGAAGGTTATTGCAATCGTTCTTGTGAAATCCCGAGCCCTCATATTTATCTACAATTTCGTGAAAAAGCTTTCGTCGAACTTTTGCTATTTTGTTCTGCCCTCGATTTTACTGAAAGCTCTGTTTAGAACGCTATCAGTACAAATTTCCCCCTGTCACAGGTGATTGTTCCAATCTGTTACTGTTTTGTCGACCATATACAGCTGTTGTGTTTCTCATTCAACAGATGTTAATTCTCTCAAACTGTAAATGTATCACAAATGCGATTTTACAGCCCTCGGACTCATTTTCTTCAAAGTGCAAGGGAAAAAATGCAGGAATTAGTGTTTATTTATATACTTATTCATAAAAAAAAATCGGTGTTACATCAACCGAAAGTGCAGATGTTATACCTTATGAAGTCATCCTTAGACATAACTGGCGCTAAATCGAGCTGCTTGGCTAAAGTTTCACGGTCGAGGGGATAACACAAAAATATCGCGTAATAATCTAATCCCTTTCTCGTAATAATGTAATGAAAGAGTACAATATTATACGAGGATTGAGCTGCCCATTTAATACATCCTGTTATTTCTAGCAACATAGTAGAAACAGTACGCTAGCAGAGAAACATGTATATGAACTGCAAATTTTATAATGTATTATTTCATTTGAGGGGCAATTATTTATCAAATTGTTCCCAAAAACCTGAGCAGAAAATCAATTCAAAATTCTATAAAAATTACACAGAGCTTCTGTGAAAGTAAACCTCATTTTTCGCAGTAGATCTATTGGAATAAATGAAGTTTACTGGTGAAACTTTCTTTAATCTGTTCGGCCAAACTTTCCTTTTGAAGACAAAATATTTTAAGATGCAATTTAAAATAAGCACAAAGAATGAGAGATTTTCACTCATGAAGAGATTACTAACAAAGCAAATTATTTAACTGTTTACAGAATCCGAACGCAATTTAGGAAATGAAGGTGAAAACCTTTTAATCAAGAGAGCAGATATACGAAATAATTTAGGTGACATTATCTACAAAACCTATTTAAACATTTTTGTTTTGTTTTGTTTTCACCATTTTACCTTAGAAACACAAAAATTCAAATACTTCGAAAAGACAATATCTTTTAACGTAAAATAATGAACACAGAATACCATTTTTAATTTCGAAGTTGTAAATGTTGGAGTTATAATGCTACGAATATCTTTCCATCTTTTGCCTTTGAGACCAGTCAAAGATTTTGTATTATAGTCTGTGCTCGAACGCCCAATATCAAAAACTGGCTGAAATAATAAGAAATAGTGTTAATTTAATTTCCATCATAAACATGTGGTAAAAATTAATTTTGGCTGAATAAATAAAGTCACATCTTAATCACTTACACAACATTACCAATTTAATGTAAAACTAATTCTCATGTAATACAATAATATAAAACAATTTTGGGTTTTCTTTCTTAGTATTTTACCTAAATATGAAAGGCGATGAATAAAAAGTTCACCAGGAAAAATAAATGGATTCTTTTCTCATCGGCAGACAGATCTAGAGAGCTTTAACATAAGGAAGAATCATCTCCACTCTTCATTACATTAAAAAATATCGAATTTTGAAAACGTTCAGTACACGCGAAACGTTTGTTCAGTTATAGAAAGTTCTTACGAAAGTTGCTGTTTATAATAAGTATTAAGAAGCTAAGTGTTTTTATTACGAACAACAAGAAGAAATAAAAATTTATCGCGATCGCTTAACTTTATCGCTATAATGTTTGTCTTATTCAATGTGTCATGAGTTAGTTGTAGTGATAACAAGAAATGAAAGACATCTGTTGATTTTATGGGTTTTCATGTGAAGTCGTTCGAAACGTGTTTGAGGCTAAATTTGGAAACAAAATTTGCTCTAAAAGTACGACGGATGATACGGATGTTATTCAAGGTTAAACAAAGCCCTTTGCTTACAGTGGCATGTGGCAAAATTAGCTCGTTATTGAGATGGCATTATTAAGAAATCTATTCCCAACAATTGTGCAATAAGATAACTATTTAAAATTTTACGCCATGAATAATAATTCACAATTTATTCAAAAATAAAAACACCACTTTTTTTAATTTCAAATGCTGACACAACATAATTAACGACAAGGTATAAAGCATTTTAATTTCTAAATTAAATCTATAACTTAAAAATAAAATTAAATTTTTTCAATTATTTAAAAATTGAGCTAATTTATTTAATTTAGGCGGTTTATTTGATAAATTAGAATCTTTGTTTGGAATTAATTTCACTAAAGGTGATTTTTTTTATTT